GGTAAAATATTTTGGATTCTCTTTTTTTTAGAGGTTGGGTGAAAAAGTATAAACTTTGTTTTATCTGTATTCAAGGACAATTTATTTTTTATAAACCAATATGATATTCTTTTTAATTCATTATTCATATTATTAAAAAGTATTTCTATGTTTTCGTGCGACTGAAAAAAATTCGTATCATCTGCAAAATTTAGGGTTGTTAGGGTAAAAGCTTTGTAAAGATCATTTATGTATAATAGAAATAATAGTGGTCCAAGTATGAAACCTTGGGGGACACCGCATGTTATATTTTTTATTATTTGCGATGAAGATTCTTTGTTATAAATAAATTGTTTGCGGTTACTTAGATAGCTTTTGAACCAATTTAGGGTTTTATCTTTTATACCATAGCTCTCTAGCTTTTTTATTAAAATATGATGATTAACAGTATCAAAAGCTTTTGACAAGTCAATGAATATGTCTAGTGTGAATTGAGAATTCTTAAATGAATCGGCAATACTGCGTGTTACTTGGAGAATAGCGTGTTCAGTAGAACTGTTTCTCTGAAAACCAAATTGATTTTTATAAAGGAGTTTATTATCAATAAGATAAGTGTAAATTCTTTTATACATTATTCTTTCTAATATTTTTGAAAAGACCGGTAGAACTAAGATGGGACGATAGTTTGTTATGTTGATATGGTGTATTAAAGATTGGAGTTACTTTGGCTATTTTCAAACTATTTGGAAACGATCCTTGAGTAATAGATGCTTTGAAGACTTTGAAGAGGATATTTTTAATCTAATTAATAGAGTCGATTACAATATTTCTATTTATACCATCAGGCCCTATTGCTTTATTCCTTTTTAATGATTTAAATGCAATTTCGAATTCATTATAAGTTAGATTTGAAAAATTTATAGTTGACTTTGGTGATGATATAAATTCATCAGCAGAGTTGTTGTCTACGTAGAAAATCTTGTTTGATAGGTTATGTCATATTGACGAAAAAAAGTTATTAAATTCGGCTGCGATTTTATTTGAATCGGCAATTAACTTATTTTCAAATTATATAGCATTCGGCATTGTATTTGTATTTGTCTTATGTTTGCTAGTAATTTCTTTCATTATTTGCCACACCCGCTTTGAATTATGCTTGTGTTTTATAAGCAAGTCAGAGTAGTATATTTGTTTGGCTTTTTTTCGGAATTTTTCAAATAGATTTTTGTAAACTGTGTAGTTATTTTTATGTTTGTCGGATTTATTTGTAAGATATTTAATATAGAGTTTTTGTTTTATTTTTGATGATTTTTTTATTCCTTTAGTTATCCAATGACAAGATATGTCTTTGACGTTAAGTACAATTTCTCGAATAGAAAAATTTGCTTCGTATATTTTGTAAAATATATTAAAAAAAGATTTGTAGATGACATTTATATCCTCATTAAAGTTTATATAGCTCCAGTTTTGGTGTAAAAGTTGCTCATTAAATAAATTTAAGTTATTGTTGCTATAAATTCGTTTTTTTAATGTTAAAATTTTTTTAATACTATAAAATTTTTAAAATTATAAATTCGTTTTTTTAATGTTTTAATGTTTTTAAAATTCTAATATATATATATATATATATATATATATATATATATATATATATATATATATATATATATATATATATATATATATATATAAAATTAAATATATATATATATATATATTTATATATATATATATATATATATATATATATATATATATATATATATATATATAAATACAAATATATATATATATATATATATATATAAGTATATATATATATATATATATTTATATATATATATATATATATATATATATATATATATATATATATATATATATATATATATATATATGTATATTTATATATATATATATATATATATATATTTATATATGTATATATATATATATATATATATATATATATATATATATATATATATATATATATATATATATAAATATATATATATATATATATATATATATATATATATATATATATATATATATATATATATATATATATATATATATATATATATATATATATATATATATATATATATATAATAATAATACTACTGCAGTAAATCAATACTAGGGGCACAAGTACCCAACAATGCACTAGAAAATGCAGAGTTATAGCAGCTACGTTTATAATTTATATTAAAAATCTAATAATAATAAAATGTCATTGTTTAATTGAGTTAGTTTTATCTTTTTGAAATTTATCATAATTGTTTTTGTATTTATTGATTGCCGCCTTAGGTGTAGCTCTCAAGGCTTCTATGACCGAATTAGGCAAATAATTCCATACTTGTGTAACCCTGTTTGATAAAAAGTTATCTCTAAACTTCACAGCTTTACTATAATCATTTGCTTGTCTGCTAGAGTATATGTCTTTCTGGAGTTGATGATTATTAAATGTTTTCAAATTAGTTGATTGTTTCATATTGAAAAATGCGTCTTCGATGTTTATTATCTTATTAGTTATTTTAAAAGTTTCGATACAGTCGCCTCTTTCTCTTCTTTTAGCTAACGACGTTAAGCCTAAGTTAGCTAGTCGGTTTGCGTAGGCAGTATTAGGTTGGCTCCATTTCGTAGCTCTTTTTTGAACTTTTTTAATTTTATCGATGTCACTGGCTAAAGAGGGATTCCATGCAGTAGAAGCGTATTCTAGATGTGGTCTAACAAGACTGGTGTAAAGTTTTTTCCAAAGTTCTTTTTCACGACAAGTGAAAGTATTTTGTAGCATTTTTAATACGCTGTTTGCTTTATTCGTTATTTTATCAATGTGTGGCTTCCATTTTAAATCCGAGCTTAGTATTACACCTAAATCTCTCTCTTCTGTGGTAGTTTCAAGAGTGTGCATATTATTATTTGATGACGTATCTTGCATCTGATATTTAAAATTGTTATTAAACTTACCGAAATGCATAACTTTGCATTTCTTAGTATTTAGCTTCATTAACCAAGTCTTGGACCAATTTTGAACTTTATTGAGATCGTTTTGTAAGTTTAACGACTGCTGACGCGTGTCTACAATTGAAATTATTTTAGTGTCGTCCGCGTATAGTTTACTAGTGTTGTCTAATAGACGCGGTAAGTCGTTAGTGTAGATGTTGAATAGTTGAGGCCCTAAAACTGAGCCCTGTGGTACTCCGCTTGTAACATTACACCAGTCAGAGACCGTTTTCCCTAGTACTACTCTCTGACGACGATTAGAGAGAAAGGCCCTTATCCAATTAACAAGATCGTTTTCGATTCCATAAGATAATAGTTTCGCTAACAGTCTTTTATGTGGCACAGTATCAAACGCTTTTGCGTAGTCCAAGTAGATTACGTCCGCATTGTGACCCTGAGCTAGGGCCTTAGTTATAGTTTTAAGAGTTTCTAACAAGTTTGATACACAGGATTTCTTAGTGGTAAATCCATGTTGAGAATTTGAAAGTAGACCATGAAGCTCTAAGTGTGCAGTTAAAGCTTCTCTTACTATTTTTTCTAAGATCTTGCATACTATAGATGTTAATATATATATATATATATATATATATATATATATATATATATATATATATATATATATATATATATATATATATATATATGTATATATATATATATATATATATATATATATATATATATATATATATATATATATATATATATATGGAGAGATTCAGATCCTTATCGACTTTACTTTTGATTATTAATATTAATTAGTATTTAATCTTAATTAAATAACATCTTTTTATTTTTTTTATCTTATAAGAGTTAAACCAACATATTATATATTTTTTAATTTGTAACTTTTTATTTGATTTTTCAAAAGAATAGTATAAATTTTTTCACAAGTTATATATTGCAAAGTTTTACTTTTTAAGTATTTATTACTCTTTTTATATATTTTTACTATTTTTATATAATTATTACCAGAAAATCTTATTTCTTATATACTGGTTACAGTTACATATGCTGTAAATAATAGCTTTTATTTTACAGAGTCAATTCTCCAGGCTTGGTATTAAGAAAATTGTGTCTTCTTCTTGTCCCGGCCATCAGTATTTACTGAAATATTGATTGTATGAATATATACTTATATGGCAAAAAAAAACAAACAAAAAAAACAACAGGTTCAGGTAGTGGTGACACAAAACAAGATTAGCGCTTACTCCGAAAGCAGCTTGATAAGCGTTGATAGCTGTATTTAATGCTGCTTGATTGCCATGCTGCCACTTAGCCACAGCGACTGCGTTAGGCTGACCTAATAAGGTAACAAGTAAACACTGCGGCTAGCTATGCTTGATGAGTTGTGTTAAATTGCTATTGAATCAAATCCATTCTATTAAGTTCATTTTTTACCAAGTTAAAGAATCTGGTTTGTAAGTTTATTATTGCCACTGTCATTATTTATTTTTATTTCGCTGAATGTTTTCCTGGTCTGAAATACAAATACTTGCAAAACTTTTTTTGGAAAACGAAAAATTGTGTGATAACACAAAACCTGAATGGGTCTTTCCTAAGAAAACAACGTAATAAACGTCGGACCTCTAAAAGATGTGCTTCGGTTTACAATTAAAAAAAAGAGACCTTAAAATCTTATTAAAGCAATAAGAAAACAGCACCTTAAATTAGTTGAGTATGTTTACAGAAAAGCCCCTAATAAAAAATGTTTGAAAAAGTTCTTAAAATGGACGCATCAACCCAGCAAGCACACCCATACGGGTCCCGTACAGTTTTAATCTGGGCATCCGGTACGGGCTAAATCTGGTATTTTTTCATGGGGTTCATCTGGGTCCCTTCAGGGATTTCCCGGATGCGCGCGCAACCATGCGAAATTTTCTTAAACTGACTTTATAATTTTCGCGCTTACTCAAAAATCTGGCATTTTCCTCAAAATAAATATAGTTAAGTTAAATACAGTTGCATATAATTAATTAAAATATATTTTTTAATTTCATTTATTAAACATGAGTTCACAAAGAACGAAACGACGAAAAATTGCTGCGGTGGTGCAAAAAATTGTCGAAGAAGCTTCTTTAAGTAGTTACGAATTAGTTAATGAAATATTTGTGGAGAACAATAATATAGATGAAAGTTCACATGAAGGTTCAAATATGAATGAATACCAAAAAAAAAAACAATACTACAGAATTTTATGATAATAATGATTGGCTTGCACGTTCCAATGATGATTCTAATAACGAAGAGATGGAGCAACTAAACCCAAACAAAAAAAGCTTAAACAAGGATCTAGGAAAATGGGCAGTCAGTTATAAAATATCTCACAATGCATTAGACAGTTTACTACAGGTTCTGAGAAAAAATGGATCAGATTTGCCTAAAGATTCTAGATCACTTCTACACACAAAGAGGAAAATTGAAACCAAATATGTTGCAGGTGGTGAGTATTATTACATTGGATTGCAATTTTGGCTTTCCTTACTATTAAAAAAAATCTCTTCTTTCAACAGATCTTTCAGTTTTTACTTTACATATCAATATTGATGGTGTTCCGCTGTTTAATAACTCAAATATATCACTTTGGCCAATTCTAGGTTCTTTTTTAGAATTTGAACAGAGTGTCTTTCCAATTGCTTTATTTTCCAGTTCTTGCAAACCAAATTCTATAGATAACTATTTAATAGATTTTATTGATGAAATGCAACGTTTTCAAGAAGTTGGTGTTATATGTGACAAGACTGAAAAAGCATACAAAATAAAGTTAGAAGCAGTTATTTGTGATGCACCAGCTCGGTCATTTGTTAAGTGCGTTAAAACACATAATGAATACAATTATTGTGAACGATGTATTCAACCTGGCGAGTTGTATCAAAAAATAGTTTTACCAGACTTATCTGCTCCATTAAGGACTAATATAGACTTTTTAAATCAACATGATTCAGAACACCATAACGCAATATCTCCTTTTACAAAGCTAAATTATAATATGGTAAGTGGTTTTCCAATAGATTATATGCATTGCATTTGTTTGGGTGTTGTCAGAAGAATTTTAAACTTATTGATTCGTGGCCCACCTTCAAGTAGGTTGTCTCAAAATATTATTGCAGTAATTTCAGAAAAACTGGCAGCTTTGAGACTGTATATTTCAAAAGAGTTTTCTAGAAAGTCTCGTTCATTATCAAAATTTAGACGATGGAAGGCTACTGAGCTCCGTCTTTTTTTGGTTTATACAGGGCCAGTAGTTTTAAAAGGACTGCTGTTACCTAATCATTATCAAAATTTTATTGACTTATCTGTTGCTGTAAGGATTTTGTTGCGTTCTTCTTTACTTAAACATTATGCTGGGTATGCTGGTCAGTTGTTACAATATTTTGTGCAGACTTTTGAAGAGTTGTACGGTAGAGATCAGCTAGTATACAATGTTCATTCATTAATACACTTAGCTGATGATGCAAAACACTATGGTGCTCTTGATAATTGCTCGTCCTTCAAATATGAAAGTTATCGTGGTCAATTAAAAAAGCTTGTTCGCAAGGCCCAGTCACCTTGTTCACAAATTGCCAAAAGAATTTTTGAAAATGCAGATTTTTATACCTGTCAGCAAATTCATTCTGTTGGTTTTAGTAAACTGCACACTGAAGGTCCTGTAAATATTACTCTGAGCCATTATCTTCAATTCAAACAGTATCAGAACAAAAAGTATTTTATGTCTAACAGTGTCGGAGACAATTGCTTCGAAATATGTGGTAAAATTGGAATTGTTAGAAATATTTTAAAACCAACTGCCACCAATGATAATGCTTATATTCTTTTTGAGGCGTTTGCTTACAAAGAATCTTTTTTTAAAGATCCATGTGATTCTCAGAAGTTAAATATTTATATGGTTGAGAGAACTGATGGTTTATATGAGTGTTTGCCGCTAAGTGACACAGTGAAAAAATGTCTTTGTTTACCATATAAAAATGGATTTATTGTAATGCCGCAATTGCACTATTGAAACATTTTGAAATTTTGTATTTGTTTTTTTTTATATTTAATTTTCATATTATCATATTTTTAGATGTTTAACCACATCAGTACCACTAACTTGTAATATTAGTTATAAAGTGTATATATGTATGCAATGTTTATTACGTTGCTCTCAATGTTGAATATTTTTTTCTTTGAATATATATATATATATACATAATATATATATATATATATATATATATATATATATATATATATATATATATATATATATATATATATATATATATATATACACCCAATATATATATGTATATATATGTATATATATATATATATATATATATATATATATATATATATATATATATATATATATATATATACACCCAATATATATATATATATACCCAATATATATATATATATACCCAATATATATATATATATATATATATATATATATATATATATATATATTATATATATATATATATATATATATATATACCCAATGTTTATTACGTTGCTTTGAATGTTAACTTTTAAAAGTAATTCATTATTTCTTTGTTTACAAAAAAAATTATATTTATTTCATAGTATTTAAAAATTGCACTATTGAAACATTTTGAAATTTTGTATTTGTTTTTTTTTATATTTAATTTTCATATTATTATATTTTTAGATGTTTAATCACATCAGTACCACTAATTTGTAATATTAGTTATAAAGTGTGTATATATATATATACATATATATATATATATATATATATATATATATATATATATATATATATATATATATATATATATATATATATATATATATATATATATATATATATATATATATATATATATATATATATATATATATATATATATATATATGCAGTGTTTATTACGTTGCTCTCATTGTTGAATATTTTTTTTTTTAATATATATATATATATAAATATATATATATATATACATATATATATTGGGTATATATATATATATATATATTTATATATATATATATATATATATATATATATATATATATATTGGGTATATATATATATATATATATATATATATATATATATATATATATACATATATATATATATATATATATATATATATATATATATATATATATATATATATATATATATATATATATATATATATATATACCCAATATATATATATATACCCAATATATATATATATATATATATATATATATATATATATATATATATATATATATATATATATATATATATGTATATGTATATATATATATACCCAATATATATATATATATATATATATATATATATATTATATATATATATATATATATATATATATATATATATATATATATATATATATATATATATAAATCATATCATAATATGATATATATTATACTTTCTTTCTTTTCTTCTTGATTTAATGGTAGGAATTGCAATCCTGCACTCGAGATCCCGCATTATTTCAGCGCATGCGAGGTCCCGCTCAGAGTACTGATGGCTCCTCGCCACAAATTAATTATGGATCCGTGTCAATTTGGTGGGAAATATAAATAGAATACAGTGCATGCATTTTTAATCTCTGATAGTTTGTAAATTGTATAAATTGTGGACATATATAAATTATATTACATAAATTACATAAGCCACATATTGTTGACAATTGAGCAGAGATTAAGAATAAATGCATTGTTATTTATTTTTATTTTATCAGTGACTGGCGATGATCCAGCAGAAATCTGTGGCGTAGATCTAGTGTTTCCCCTGTGTTCAAATAATGCAAGATCTCGCAGTGTGGGATTGCAATTCTATATATATATATATATATATATATATATATATATATATATATATATATATATATATATACCCAATATATATATATATATATATATATATATATATATATATATATATATATATATATATATATATATATATATATATAATATATATATATATATATATATATATATATATATATATATATATATATATATATGTATATGTATATATATATATATACCCAATATATATATATATATATATATATATATATATATATATATAAATCATATCATAATATGATATATATTATACTTTCTTTCTTTTCTTTTTGATTTAATGGTAGGAATTGCAATCCTGCCCTCGAGATCCCGCATTATTTCAGCGCATGCGAGGTCCCGCTCAGAGTACTGATGGCTCCTCGCCACAAATTAATTATGGATCCGTGTCAATTTGGTGGGAAATATAAATAGAATACAGTGCATGCATTTTTAATCTCTGATAGTTTGTAAATTGTATAAATTGTGGACATATATAAATTATATTACATAAATTACATAAGCCACATATTGTTGACAATTGAGCAGAGATTAAGAATAAATGCATTGTTATTTTTTTTTATTTTATCAGTGACTGGCGATGATCCAGCAGAAATCTGTGGCGTAGATCTAGTGTTTCCCCTGTGTTCAAATAATGCAAGATCTCGCAGTGTGGGATTGCAATTCTTAATTAATGGTATTGATTTCTTTATTTTCATAGCAATAAAATTATTAGTACTTTTACCCTAGGGGACCATCCATAAAGAAAGTCATCTAAGTAGGGTGGTGAGGGTCAAGATTAAAAAGACACAAAGGCGGAGGAGGGAGGTTGTCAGAAAAGTACATCACTTTATAGATTTTTTATTTTAGTTTTATAAACATGAAAAACAGTAACATAAACATGAAAAAATGTAAATATGTGTTTTTATGAAGATAATTTAAAATAATATTTTTAATTTTGTTTTTCAAAGGTGTAGAACAAGTGTCAAGCATCATTGTAAGATCAAATAATTTTTTTTTTCGGTTAAAATAATGGGGGCGGTATCGATTTTGTGACGTCCTTTTCAAGCGTAGGGGTACAGGAAAAAAGTACAACCGGTGAACAAGGAGGGGGGGTCAAAAAATGCTTAGAAAAGGTTCTTTTTGGATGGCTCTTATCTTGTGTCATTGATAATTTTTTTTTATATCTTCAATATTTGCAAATATTTAGGAATTTAAGCGTCTTAAAAAAATGACAATTAATAAGATTAATGAAAAGTATGGTTTAAGGTGGCTACAAAAGTATAAGAGTATGTATTGATTTAGAAGCTAATGAAATTTATTTCAACTAATGTTGTATGTTTAGGTGCAGCAAAAAGAAACTATGAAACAAAACAAAATTTATCAAAAAAGCTTCTTGAAGAAGCACTTTCCGCTTGGTTTGGTAATGCTCGAGATAGAGGTAAAGACAGCCGAAAAGAGAGAAATTCAAATGCAGCAAACACGGAAAACAACATATAGAATGTTTAATGTACATTGTTTATATATCGAATGCAGCAACAAACACACATATATATATATTGATTACATATTTAATAATAGTTTATTTTATTTAATAAAACATACATGCACATGTGCTTGTGTTTTCAATTTGTATATAAACGTGCTAAAACGTTTTGCTTTCAAAGAAAATGAAAAATTTAATGAAAAAATTGCTTTAAACAAGTAATTGTTAAATAAAAGTATAAAAATCACAGTTATAAATAATACAAAATACATTCGGGGAAAATCTGGGATCAATGAAGGAGAAATAAAAAAGCAGGCGATCGATTTTCGTTTTTTTTTATTTAGCCCGTATGGTTCCTATGTAAATCCCGCGGCCAAATCCCGCACGGTTCCCGTTTGACATCCCGGATGCTTACCGTTTGGGTCCCGTATGGTTGTGCTTGCTGGGAATACGTTTAACTGCATCATAGCAATCAGATATTAACGCTTATGTCATTAACGATAAAAAAAAGTTTTTTCAAGATATTCCAATATAAAGTTAGCTTTATTAGTTCGAGCTCCTCAACTGACATTAATCGTCAGCTTTATTTTAGGCCATTTTCTTCATTCGATTTGCTCGTGACTGTTTGTTATTTTTAGTTAGTTAATTTTTAATTAAATAGCATAAAACTCTTTATTTTTTCCATTTACAAATTTTGACGACCTCACTATCGCTATTATAGCCGAGCTCGCGAAAGCTTTATTTAACCAAAATCAGCTGAACTGCTTTAGTTGTCACTTGACCTTTATAGTACTGTTTAAGAGCTTTGCTCACCTCTTTCGCCATTTCTGGCGTCCAACCGATATCCTTATTCAACTCCACCTCAGTAAGATTAAATATATGTTTGCTCTATTTTACAGAAAAATCTTTAAATATACTCGGGATCAATGTTTTTATTGGCGTAAGACGCTACTGGCGGTAAAATTTTTCTACGTAAATGACTTTTTTTAATGTAATAAAACATTTTTAAAAGGTACCAGCGTTAAACTTTCTACAGCCGAAATGTTTACAGTCAAAAACTGTTACAAAGTAGCAGCCTACGAAATTTTTTTCTGAAGATCTAAAGGTATGAATATTGAATTGGAATTTGTCATGTAAGAAATGTAACTCATTTCTAAAAGTTAAAACTGGTCTTTATAACTATTTTTTAGAAAAATATTGCTTATAAATCTAATTATTTTCTTCAACTTTTTATTTATAACCCTGAGCTTCTATTTATATAATTTTTTTCTCTTTTCTCTGTTGTGTTTTAATAATTTTTTTAAATTTATTAAATTCATTAAATTTAACAAAAAATATTAAAACACAACTGAAAAAAGTAAATAAATTAAATAAATACAAGCTCAGAGTTAGGGTTATAAAAAATAAATTTAAGAAAAGTATAAGATTTATAAACAAAATTTTTCTAAAAACTTGTTAAAGTTAAAAAAAAAAGAAAAAAAGAAATTCTTTTTTTAATTTTTCTTAAACTTTTTTTAATTTTTCTTAAACTGAGTATTTTCTCTTCATCATTATCATTGTTATTGTTATTATTAATATACTTTTATCATTATTAATATTATTATTCTTATGTTATAAATATTGTTAATTTTTTTTTTTTTATGTTATTGTCTTTGTTATATTGTTGTTGTTATTATTATTGTTATTATTGTTGTTGTGGTTATTTTTACTGTTATTATTATTATTAATATAGTATAGTGTATACTTTTTATATTTTTATTATTACTTTTAATCGCTATTATTACAAATATTGTTTTAATTTTCTTCTACTTGTATTATAATTATTATTATAATCATAGTTTTTAAATTATTGAATTTTATACTTTATATTACTACTTATTACCATTTTTAATAATATTGATGTAGTGGATAGTTGGGTATTGGCCAACACCTAAGCGGGAATTTCAATTAAAGACAACAGTTATACAAAATTGATCATATTTATTGCTTATCAGTTAGTCTAACTATATAGTCACAAACCCCCAAAAACATTTATTGTATATCTTATTACAAAATAAAAATTAAAAAACAAAAGCGTTGGTGTTCTCTACGCACGTAGAGAAATTCCGTTTCTTGTGGGTAAAATTCAGTTTTCTGTGGGTGGCTCCTTATACTTTTCCTTGCAAATTAAATCTTTTGTAAACGTTTTCTGATTTTCACTCTATTAAATGAAACTCAAATAATTTCTTTAGTCAAATTAAATGTGACAAAAGTAAAAAACATTAAAGCTCTGGGCGCTTGACGTCCAGTTGTTATCATGGACACTTTAGACATTTAAAATTACCCCACTTAGATCATTCGTTATTTACCCGTGGGCACAAACAAATGAAATACAATTAATCTATTAAGGTTGCATTGACATTCCTATAATTTAATACCTTTTATTAACTCCTTGATTATGATACTAGGCAACTACAGCAACAAAAGAAGTGGTTTTTTATCCATAGTAACTGCAACAGGAGAGTTTTTCAAGCAAATAATTACATGAGTTTATCAGAAAAAGTTAAAATCAATTTGTTGGAAATAAAAAGCACAGCTTCATTACACTAATGCGCGTCTGGAACTGAGTTTGGGCCCCCTCTCAGCAGGAATGAATAAAAATAAATAAATTGACTTAGAAATTTAACTTTTTAGATTAAATTTAAAAAATTTTTAGACATTGGAGTCTAATAGGTACATAGTTTTCAAAATTTTGTTTTGAGCAAACAAGAAACGATGAAGGAAATTATTATGTAAAATGCACTTATGCTTAGATTATCAGGACTATTTAATAATCCCAAAATTTAAAACTTTAATTTTAGACAAACTCAAAATAGATAGACAAGAGAAATTTTTCCATTTAAAGTTCATTTAGGGAATATTTGAGATTGGAAACTGTAAAAAAAGGGATCAAACTATAAACAAAATTAATAAAATTCTAGAAATTAAAAATGATGCTCAAATATGGTATGAGCTCAAATAATTTTGATAAAGTCAGATGAACCCGCAACAAAACCCATTAAAGATTTTTCTTCTTATTCAGAAAGTGTTTAGAGATAAATACAACTTGTTTCCGAGGTTGCTCATACTCTTTATGCAAGGGAAGCACGTCAAAACATATTATGGATAAAAATCAAATCAGAAAACATCAAAAGAGTTTTATGTTTAAATGTTTTATGTATCTAAATAAATTTATATTATAAGAATTTAGATAATGATAAGTTTCTCAATAAATCTTTAATTGTTTAATATTTAAAGTAATTTTTATTAGAGTTTATTAATGCAATTATTCCTAATTTTTTTTTCCAATTAAAAATGTACAAAACTTGTTCAAATGTACAAAAAATGTACAAAAATAGATTTTCTATATTTAAATCAACGCAATTTTCTATAAGCTTTTGAAACAAATGGTCTTAGATTTATCAACTACAAAAAGTCTATAAAATATTGTACTGAATAGCAGTAGGTAGTCTAAAGAAACTTGTATTTTAAAAGGCCATTTGTTTTAAAATGCATATAGAAAAATGTTTTGATTATTTTTATGGAAAAATTCTACAAATTTTGTTATGGGGAATGGTAAAAAATTAAAAACAATTTAATTTTTTACTTTTAAGTTGTATTCTCAACAGTTTAAATACTGTTTGAACAGTTTTATTTCTTGTAGTTAATTTGCTAAATATTCTTAAGCAACAAAATATTCTTGATCAGAATCAGCATCAGTCCAAGTCCAAATCCATGAGAAAACCGGATTTTAAAATTCAGTTTGTTAACTTTAATGTTTTTGAAACTTCAACTCAAAAACACTTGTTTTTGGCAACCTTTTATGTCTGAAGAATGTTAATAATCTGGACAATAAATTTCTGAAAAACAAATTCAGAGCATAGATATCTACAAAATTTAATGCGGAAAAGGTTTACAACATTAAATTGAAAAAAATTTTACACTCCAAAATTACGGCTGTAAAAATTTCTAGATTAAAATTTCCGTCAGTAAAAAGCTTATAACATTGACCCCAGATCTCATTGGTTTTCCTCTTGACAAGTTCTTCTTTGTAGAAAATATGCAGCAAAGAACTTGATGGAATAATACCTATATCTGAAAATAAACTTCTAACTATCAAAAAAGTAGAATTAACTGATGAACACAACGATAGGATCAACAATTTTTTCAAAAAGCTAACAGAAAGCCTGGAATCTATCATGCAGAATTCACACTTCAATTTTACTATATTATTCGAAAAGCTGAATCAAAAATAATTCGTGAGTGGTCATATCTTTCAATCATGCTTTCATCTTTAGCAAAAAAAGCAATAAATGAACCTATTAAAATGGGAGAGCACACCTTTGAATTGGGTAATGCATTAGGCTGGGGTGAGGCTCGCAATCGCTGTTTGTCTCTGCGATGTGAGCTCCAAATAATGAGCTTCAGATATTGCCAAATGAGTCACATGTAGCAGGATTTTGGGATGTTAAAAATTTAAGCTCACACGACAAGGAATAGTGAAGCTGATACTCGGAACTACAGCCAATTGTTTTGTCAAAGCAGGACAAGAAATCTCTTGACCTAAAATTCACAAAGAAGACAGCTGTATTTTAAGTTTATTTTTGAAAACCTGGTATGACCGATTGCTACACCAATTGCTGGTATGACCAATCGCTGCGCAATAGTTAATCAAGAATGTTCTAACCAAGGTTGTTTCAATAAAGCAAGAAAACATATTATTAATATAATTTAGGGACTCGGCAACACATTGAAAAAATCTAGATACGGCAAACTTTTACGCATTGCAACAAGCCGTGAACTAGTTGAAAGTCAAGATCCAGGAGTCAGTTTACGCAAATGCAAAAAATGGCTTACAATATGGCATCTAACTGGACGAGCTATTAATGTCCGTGGTAGCTTGTCTGAAATTATGGTTCTTCGAACCTTTTCCAAAAAATTCCAGGAGGATGGTTCGGAGGCTTTTAATTCATAATGAACGTGCGTGGCTCTATGATCGTCAAAACTAAGGTGTTTGAATAAATCACTTCTAAACATACCTGTAAAGCTCAAGATGACATTCCTGTTGATAATAACAGTTCCAAATCATAATCAATTCCATAATCATGCCGCCAAAAAATGTATCTACGCTTAAAAATATTCTTTGTATTAAATCAGATGAAAGGAGCGTTTTGATAAATGATTCTGTTGCAAGTTTGTTTAAAATTGTTTGGGAGTCCCGTCGCAAACCAAGATGTATTTAAATTGACAAAGATTAAGTTGATTCGGTTAAAGCTTGTCTCGGAGCTGATGTAAAACAAGTTGTTAGAGTCAGTTATGGCGTCAGCCTTCAGCTAAGAGATGAACCAAAAAAAAAGCTCGAAGCCAAGTAGTTTTTAAAGAGGATCTAGATGGCAAGCAGCTTTCAGCCTAATAAAAGGGTTGAGCGTTTATTCGAAAATCGTTGCTGAAGTTTTTAGAACTTGTTACCGTGTGTCTAAAGTAGATGTTTGTAAAAATAAAACAGTTGAAAATAATACCCTTTGCATTGAATTTAACAATCCAAGAGCATAAATGAGCTTTCTTGCTGAAATAAAAAAATAACAGTATTTTTTTTAATTGAAGAAATTCGTCCTTATACTGACTCTGAGATTTTGTTTAATTAATCGCATTCTATTTAATTAAATCCAATAAGCTGTCACTCAATATAGAAAAAGCTAGGTATATACTATTTCACTCTAATCAACAAATTTAAAAAAAAACTCTGAACCTACCAACACTTAATCTAGAAAATATAACCATCAAAAGAGTTTTGAATACAAAGTTTTTAGGAGTTCTAATTGACAAACATATCTCCTGGAAACCCCGCATTAACTCAAAAATATCAAAGAACATTGGTTTGCTATACAAAGCAACACCATTTTTGTCACGAAAAAAGTCTAAAATTTGTCTACTTTTCATTCATACATAGCTACCTGATGAATGCCAATAAAACATTGGGCAGTACCCACAAATCTAAATTAGAACCACTTTACCTAGTCAAAAACTCGCTTTAAGACTAGTATACAACAAAAATAAATTTGCTCATGCTCATCCTTAATTAAAACAAATGAACGCACTCAATTTTTTTCAGATAAATATTTTTCGAAATATACTTTTCATGTTTAAATATAAACTAAATCAGCTTCCAGAACATTTTACAGCTTACTTTTTTAAAAACAATATAAATAAATACAATACAAGAGCAACAGGCAACTTTAAGATAGCGTCCCAGTGGAAAAAACGATGGAAAAAAGACGTCTTATGTACGTTCAGTTAACGTCCGCTCGATTTATTCACAATATGAACGCTTTAAGATTAGTATACAACAAAATATATACATATAACAAAAATATATATATTTAAGACGTCTTATGAACGTCTTTTTCTCGTCCGTTCCGAATATAAAAAAATTTATCACTTTCAGTTTTGAAAAACCTTTTTATTATGTCTAATGACGCGAAATGTCATTATTAAAATTATTAAAAGGTGTTTTAGTGATGGCGCCATTATTAAAAGGTGTTATAGTAAAGGCGCCATTATTAAAAGATGTTTTAATAATGGCGATTCTCGTATGACGAGGTTTCAATTACTTTTTAAATAATTGTTAGATAAAATATGTGTTTTATATTTATATATGTATATAGACAAACAAAATATACAAAGATTGTTTATATAGTAAAGAAAAACTATATATATCTTTATATGACATATATGTGTCGTGACATGTTTTTTTTTACTTTGTATGTCATTAAATTTTCTTTATTTTTATATATTTTATATTTTTTATGTCATATTAGATATATATAATATTAATGAAATTTAGATTGATTAACTCATTTTTTTAATATATTACTGTATGAGTATAAAATCCTATTTTATTTACTGTCATTTATATTTTAAGTATTATAGTTGTTTTTTTTAAACGTAATACTTAAAATATAAATGTCAGGAAATAAAGTTATAAAATTAAGATTTTATACTCATACAGCAATAATATAATAAAAATCAGTCAATAACTCTAAATTTTCATTATTTTTATGTAAATGTAATTTCATTTTCTTTGAAGTTAACAGTCAATAACCTAATCCCTGTTACTATATTATAGATGCATGTAACTATATTATATATCATAATATGATATATATGACAATATGATATATATATGATATATACGAATCGATTCATATATAATATAGTAACATACATAAATAATATAGTAACAAGATATAACAGTAAAAAAAAATTATATGTGTACTACTAATAATAATTGAAAGTACTTTGAGTTACAGGAAAGTTCGAATTATCTGAGGTTTGAGATATTGGGAGTTTACTGCATTCTTATGATTATTATTTTTACATTCCATCTACATAGAATTTTGAATTTTATGCTGAAAGTTGCACTTTTATATATATATATATATATATATATGTATGTATATATATATATATATATATATATATATATATATATATATATATATATATATATATATATATATATATATATATATATATATATATATATATATATATATATCAGGGTTGTCCAACGCGTGGCCCGCGGGCCACAAAGTGGCCCTCGTTGTCTTTTGCCATGGCCCGCGTTTTCAATTCTTAACTTATCAAAAACCATTCAAAACTTTTAACAAAATCAAGTGAATATTATATTTCTAAAACTATTTTTTCTGTAGCTCAGAATTAGGGCAGTTTTTTAATATAATTTTAAAAATCAGATTTTTTTTAAAATTGCAACACGGTTAAAACTACCGCCTTATTTTTTTTATAAAACTGGTTAAAACGGTATTGACTATTTGGTTAGCGGAACCATAGTTATATTGATTTTTTTTTAAATATGGCTTCTGCTAGTGCTAATAAAAGACGTAGAGCTGAAACTGAAAGTGGAAGAGGAGGTCGTATATTTAACCCATCTTGGACAAATGAATATTTTGTAATGGAGCAAAATAATTCAATTATGTGTCTCATTTGTTTTGAAAAAATTGCCGTGTGCAAAATGTATAATGTTAATAGACACTATACTACAAAACATGCAGCAACTTATGATAAATTCAAGGGCCAATTTCGTGTTGATAAGGTAGAACTGCTAAAAAAAAATTTTATCGGGCAACAATCAATAATGAAAAGTAAAGTAATTAGCTCATACAGTGCTACCAAAATAAGTTTTTTAATTGCAGAAAATATTGCAAAAAATGGTCAACCTTTTTCTACTGGAGATTTAATAAAAAACTCTATAAAACAATTTTGTAATGAGGTATGCCCTGAAAAAATACAATTTGCTGAAGATCTCAGTCTTTCACACCAGACAATTGCAAGAAGGGTTGAAGATCTATCAAAGAATATTGAATTAGCATTGAAAAAAAAACTATGTAAGTGTGAAGCATATAGTCTGGCACTTGATGAATCAACAGATAGAAGTGATAAGGCTCAGTTAGCTATTTTTATTAGATTTATAACAAGTAATTTTGAAATAATTGAAGAACTGTTGGATTTCAGGCACATGAAAGGCACTACTAAAGGGGAAGATATTCTTTCTGAAGTCAAAAAAACAATGATAAAGTTTGATTTGCCAGAAACAAAACTCTCTGGTGTCACTACAGATGGAGCAAATTCAATGAAAGGAAAAAATATTGGATTTGTGGCATTATTTAAGAAATCCATTAATCACAACATTCTTTCATATCACTGTATTATACATCAAGAACAGTTATGTGCAAAAGTATTAGAAATGAAAGAAGTCATGGAAATTGTTATCCAAACTGTTAATGTTATAAGAAGTCGTGGCATTAATCACAGACAGTTCAAACAATTGCTTGAGGATTGTGGAAGTGAGGCAGAAGATGTAATTTATTTCTGCCAAGTTAGATGGCTTAGTCGAGCTGCAACTTTGAAAAGATTTTGGATATTAATACCTGAAATAATAAAGTTTCTAAAAATTAAAGATAAAGACACAAGCTTTCTTGAAAATAATGACTGGCTGAATGATTTGGCATTTTTAGTTGACATTACACAGATGTTAATGGAATTAAATATCAAGTTGCAGGGTAAAGATCAACTTATTAGTAAACTATATGAAAATGTAGAAACATTTGTTTTGAAATTGAAACTTCTCAAACAACAATTAAGTCAAAAATCACTTATCCATTTTAAAACATTGTCAGAAAGAAATACCAACACAGTTGACTATGAAAAATATTGTAATCTTATTTTAAAAGTAATTGATGAATTTGACACAAGATTTTGTGATTTTAAAGAAGTAAAGAATGAGTTAGACTTATTTTCACATCCATTTTCCAAATAAAGTTGAGACAGTAAGAGATGAATTTCAAATGGAATTAATAGAACTACAAAACAATAAAGATTTGAAAGATGCTTACAAAGATGTTGAATTGTTAGAACTTTATAAAAAATACATGAACATTGAAGTTTATCCACATTTGTGCAAACACGCTATGAAATACTTTTCCCTTTTTGGAAGCACATACATCTGTGAACAATTTTTTTCAAGAATGAAACATGTTAAATCAGAGCAGAGACATAGGTTGAAAGATGAACACCTCACTGATACACTTCGGATTTCATCGTCCACTATAAAAGCTGACATTGATCAATTGTGTAAAAATAAACAATGCCAAGTTTCCCATTAAATACATTTTTTTTGACAATATTTAAATGGAATTAGTTGTTTTAAAGTAGAAGTTTAAACAAAATGATTTTTCTTAATTTGTGGCCCTCGTGTTGTCATCAAAATAAAATAATGGCCCAGGCTGTAAAAAGGTTGGACAACCCTGATATATATATATATATATATATATATATATATATATATATATATATATATATATATATATATATATATATATATATATATATATATATATATATATATATATATATATATATATATATATATATATATATATATATATATATATATATATATATATATATATATATATATATATATATATTTTAAATTTTAATTTATTATACTTTTGCAACATTTAATAAAAACACGTATGATAAAGCTTTGTTAATATATCAATGATTTAATATTTAGTGCACAAACAAAATAAATAATACATTTGTTAATGTTAGAATATGATTGTTTTAGATTTTAATGGTGAAAAAATCAAAACTTTACATGATCTTTTCAGTAGAAAATTTTATAAGGATTTCTTGAAAAAATAATGACAAAATTGATAGTTTTTCGTAACTTCAAATAATATAACTTTTCCGATTCTTATCAAAATGTATACAATTTGGTATGAAAGCAAAGATAAGAAAAAGACAAGGCACCTACAACAACAAGTAACATGTTACGAATGTATATTTGTTAATGAAAGTTAAATGTTTTTTATTGAAATTTTGGATTTTTATTTGCAATTTTTTATATTCTAACAGACGATCATTGAATTTGATAGATAAACAAATAGAAAAGTAATACATAATACTCTCTTCATATGTAATACTCTCCTTAAACGTAAATCAAATTGTTTAAACTGGATATGATGATTAAATGTTGTATCGGCATCGTTTTATCTGTCTATTTTGCTTTTTCAATTTGATTGCCAGCTTCAACCTAATTCTTGATTTAGAACTATGATTTTGAACTAAAACATTTCTGTGTTGAATAAAATACTATTTATTCTTGGCTGTAATTTTTTTGAGGCTTCAGTATTCAAATGTTGGTGGTAATTTTAGTTATGCCACTGGTAAAGCGTCGATTTTTAAGTATGTGTTTACTTTTTGTATTTTGTTTTGCTATGCAAATAAATTTAGTAATAATTATTTAATTATTAACTAATAAGTTTTGTTTTGTTAAATTATATATTATGGTTATTGTTTATCTGTACACATTACACTATAGAGTATATGTAAATGCATGTGCAATAGCATAGGTTGTATTTTATTATGTATTCACACAAGACATTTTCAAGCACATGTCTAATTTGCAAACTTAATTATTTTTATCCTTATGTCGAATGACAACATTTTGCCCTTTTCCCTGAATGTGAAGGAAATGAGTTCTGTAAAGAACAGTATTTTATTTAAAATTAAATTAAATTTCATCAACAGGTTTGTAACTTTAATAGTATTTAGGCTTTCAAAAGTTTTGACCATATAAAGATTAGTTTTCCTCCTTAAATGAGGAGGTTGCAAAATGTACATCATCATACCTTTTGAATGCTAATATGAACTCATTACCCTCATATTCAGATATAGAAGAGCAAAATTTTTTGGGTATTTTAGTTTTCAAGCACCTATGTATTATTTATAACAAATAATAGATTATAATTTATTTTTTTCATTGTTATTCCAGGTAGACATAAAACGTTTGAAGTATGCACAAAGCCTGAAAGTGTCAAACATGGAACCTAAAAAGACCTGCCTTTGCCACTGACTGTATAAGGGTATTTTAAGGTAAGAGCTTAACTGTATTAACAGAAAAAAAATATTATAAGTTATACATACAAAAATAGAATAAAAATATATATTTGTAGTTTCAGTTTTTATTGTCACAAATATTAAACATTTGTGACTCAGAATACAGATATTGATGTTTGTCTTCTTTAATGTCATTAATGCTTTATCTACTGTTTTCTTTTTGTGCATGACCTAATTTCTTTTCATAACCATATTTTTTTAGGTCTGTATGTCAAGCGTCAAGTCAGGTTATCTTGCTACTGGTACCATGTAGTACATACTGCTTAAGCAGGTTGTATGCCATCCATACGACGTTTGGGCATCTGTTTGTAAAGTATTGCTGCAAATCTTTTTGAGAGAGCCATTACTATGGAGAACCATCTAAACCATACAAGTGTGGAAACATGAATGTAAATCTTAAACACATTTGTGATATATAATTGTAGAACGTTAAATGTTATAGGTTTGGAAATTATATTCTGCTAAAAAAACTTTTTAAATGTATTCTAGCAAAACATACCTGGCCCGCATTTGATTCTGAACAACGTTCTTTTTGGACCAAATGCGGCTGGGTAATTTGGACTTGTAAATGAACTTTTATTAATAATTTTTAAACTGCTTATGATCTGATTTGATTTTATTTTTGTCATTTGTTTATTCAGATTAATGTGAAATAAACTGATAAGAAACAATTTTAATGAAGACAATTATAGGTATACCTGTTAATGTAATATTATTTGTATTTTATTTTGTATGTTAAGTTTTGACGAATTTTTAAATACTGCAAACTCACACTCGCACAAAAATAAACCGTGAACTCTTATTTAATCAGTTGCAAAAGTTGACTTTGAAAATTTTGTTTAAGATATTATAGCTTATTGATTAGACTGTGTTTTTAGAATGAAGTTCATTCATTTGCAGACAACATATGAAACAAACGGTCGTTTGAAACAACAAGTCTCTCAAAATTCTCAATTACATATCGTGGTCCTTTTTTGTTTAACAAATTAGTTTCCAGAAACGAATCACTATTAAACCTAAACAACGAACATTCTCTGAAAATAAAGCTAAAATCTACAATAATCAAATTAAACTACTATAAAGAATTTTTTTGAAATTATAATAAAAAGTTTAAAAAAATGTAGCTTATCTTTTAATACAAATCGATAAAAAAATAATAATAATATTACAAACAAGGTATCTATGTACAACACACATATATACCACTTATACAACTGATTTTTATGTGTGTTACACATTCAGGAAAAGGTACTCGATGAAAAGACTGACTTAAGTCTTGTGCAAGCTTCCTATAATTACTAACAAGTAATTCTCCGTTTCAATCTTACACAAATTTTTTTTTAATATATTTATGCACAAACATTAGTTTGAAATGTGGTAAATAAACTTATAGTCAAACATCTAAACACTTTTCCGAAAAATCAGCTAAATAATTTTTATTTAATGTATTATTTTTTTTTTTTAACTGGAATAATATAGATATATTTATCGGATTATTTTTACGTACACGTTATAACATTGTTGTAATTAGTGTTTATTTCAATTGTGTCTCGGAGTTGAATGCAACTATATTTTTGTTTACTTCGTATATTTCGTACTTTATGTTTATGATATTTTTGTTTGTATATCTTTACCGCCAACTTGTTTTGTTCTGCAGGAACAAAATGAAAAAAGTTTTGATTTTGTTCCTTGAGAAACAGTAAACTACGGAAGAAGCTGTAACATTGATCTTAACAAAATTGGAGTCGCCAAACCGTGCAAGCTAGTTGAAAAAAATGATCCAGCTGCGCAATAGTTAACCAAGAGTCTTCAAACCAAGAGTGTTCTAATAAAGCAAGAAAACATATTATTATTATAATTTAGATACTCGGCAATAAAAGCCGGAATCAAAAGCAATTTGCCTCTTGCTTGACAAAAATAAAGCCAGAGCAATCGGAGGCTTATTAAAAAATTTATAACAAGGCTATTTTGCCGTTAAACAATGTGTAAAAGATTTAACTGAAGGATACTTGTCCGTTGGTTGACTTGTTCTAAACGGAATTAGAAAACGTCTACATATAGCTTTTATGGCTCTTGGGAGTTCTAACGCCATGGGAGTCAGGGCTGACGCTATCTACGCTCTTGCTTAGCATAAAGATAGGGCAGCTCTCGCTCTTAAATCTGCAGAATTTAAATTTGCTGAAGGGTTTTTTGGTTTAAAAATGCTATCAATAACTTTCGATGAAACTCTACATGCATTATAACTTATTCCAATCCCAGCATGTAAAAGAATTATTACTTTAAATGAAAAGGCTAGTAAAAAAGGAAATTAGGACGAGGTAGAGACTCTTATGCCAACACGATGTGTTGAATCAAGTAATAGTATTATTGATTTAATATATAAATTTAATTCAAACTGTATTACTTGAGTCCCCTTAGCTATCAAAGCTACTGTGTCAGAAGCTGGTATAACCAGGGCTGAGGAGAAAAACTGTTAAATAGCGTGCCATCATTGCCAATCTGAAAGTGCCCACCATAGTTAAACTTAAAAAATTTAAACAATATAAAATGGTAAGTATTGGAAAAGTTTTTGAAAATCGTCGAACCACTACAAGAACCCTTGTAACTCTTATAAATCGCGCTGAAGTTTCTTACAAATCTCCAATAGCTTTTACCAAGACTAAGTCTCTGCGCAAATAACTAAAAAAACTTTAAAACCGCGTGATAAATAATACGCCACAGCAGTTCGCGGAGAATATCTTGTTGATGTAATTTGTTTAAAAGATTATGCTAGTGTAAACAAAAAAAGTAAGTGTATTTTAACTCTCTTAGAAGTAAACAGCCGCTATGTTAACTGCTAAGGCCTTAATTAACATTTTAAAACAAAACGAAGAAGATTATAAGAACTCTCGAAATAATTGCGCTAATTATAGCCATTTGAAGCAATGGTGGACCTAAATTTGCCGGAAATTTCGCGTCCCTTTTAAAATTACTTAGCATAAAGAATTAGATCATTACCATAAATAGCTTCGCCATCAGATCGGAAAAATATTCTCTATGCGTAATAGCCACGTTTGGATAGATGCTCTTCATATTGTCGATAATCACACTTCTCATTATTCTCAAGCTTTAAATGCAGCTGAACTTAATACTACACCTTCTGCTGTCAGACCAGCTCTTAGAAAGCAAGTCGACGTTCTTAACATCAAATCTCACAATAAGGTACGATTACTTACATTTGAAAAAAGCTTTAAAATTTGACAAAGCGCAAGAAACAACCTGGACACGAGAAAGAAATTTTTTAATACCACAAGTAGAAGTAAAACTTTTAGAGACAATGTATTTGCCGGAGAAAATTCTATATGGCCAATACATTAGTTCCAAGTTGTTAAAAAAGCTCTTGGTCAATATAAATAAGAATACAAAAAAATTCAAAATCTACTGTACGCGCTCAAAGTCAGGAAGAGCGAAATATATCCGCCATTGAACAATCTACCACTCTTGCAGCTCCTCGTACTTTAGAAAGAATTATTAAGTAACTCCAAAAGCCGCTGCTCTACAAAAAACAAAAATCAGAGCGCGATCAAAAAGTGTGGCATAAAAGATTTCTGCTCATTTTGACACCTGTAAAAAATCCAGGCATAAAAAGGTTTTTGTACCTGTAAAAAATACAGCCATGAAAAGTTTTTTTACCTTTGAAAAATACAGGCGTATAAAGTTTTTGCATCTATAAAATAATAATACCCGTAGAAACCGTTATCCTCCTTTTTATATAGGGTGGGTTTTTTATATATTTTTATATACCATTTACTATAGCTATTTAAATATTTCTCCAATGTTGTAAAGTTAACTTACTATTAAATTTTATTTGTACTTTGAATAGTTTTTACCTTGTTTTAATTCATTAAATTATAGTCATTGAATTATTCAAAAATAAAAGGGAAAATTACCTAATTCCATCTTAAGCAAACTCACATCAAGGAAATTTTTTTGTAAAAAATTTTATTGTATTTTTATGTTGAAAGTAAATCAATGCTGCATAAAAAGTCTAACGGATACAGTTAATATATTTACATATTGTACTGCATTTACCGTTATGAAATTACCGCTTTTGGTTTTTATTATATTTTGTCTAACAATTTATACAAGTTAAAATTAAAATTATATAAAAATGGTAAAAGAAAATAGATTAAGATATCAAAACTATTTTGAAATTTAATTAATTGTTATTCTACTCTTGTTGAAAACATTCTTTATTTGAAGTTTGAAAATACCAAACTTATTAATTTAGAAAATCAAAGATTATTTTTTGATCCCTTAATGATGGCCATGTTAACTTGCACGAAATAATATTCATCCTCGTTGCCTCCGCTTTTTGGATCGAACTTCTTGCACAATTGATTAAATGCATAATTAATCTCTTTATTAGATGCTGTTGATTTTAAATTAAAAAATTTATATGCGTTTTCTAATGCTACTTCTCTTGATACTCCAAATAGCCATTCCGTCAATCGGTCAGAGAAAGCGTGAGCAGCCGCACCTCCAACTATCATACAACCTACACCACCAACCGCGGCGCCAACAGGACCAAATAACGAGCCAAAAGTAAATGCACACGCTGTTCCTGAAAAGGCGGCAACCTTATATTTTACATAGTCATCAACCAGGAGTTTAGCGCAGAGAGCACCAGATATTTCATTTTTCCACCAGCGTTTAATACTTTTAATAGCATCAATGGCAAGTTTGATTTCTTGTAGATTTTCTTCTAAAAAAACTTTACCAGCTTTAAATACCTCTGTAGCTCCAATGACGACTTCGCTATTAGCAAGGGTTTCAACTAAAACCCTAACTTTGTCTAGATCACTTTTAGATATGTCTGTAAAATCATTTGATGACATTGCCATACATTTGTTTAATGGATAATTAGTACTAATTAAAAAAGTTGTAAGGACCAACAACATAAACATGGTTTCTAAAAAAAGATCACATAAAATTTGTTGTCAAAACGTAGTACAACTTCAAAAATGCACTTCACAAAAAAATAAAAAAAAATAAATCTTTAAGCCATAGATAGTAAATCAAATTTATTTTTAGAATAAAAAAATAAAAAGCACAAAACAAAAAAAATTTGATATAATAGTTGTAATAACAAAATAAACTAGAAACAAGTCCACAACCTTCATAAATTATAAAAATTTAATTTTTATGATTTATGATGTCAAATTTCATAAAAAAAATACTTCAACAATGTATATATTTGTGAAATTTGACAATATTTTCACCAACTTATAAAAATTTAAACTTTGATGCATTTTGTTTATGTCCAAATTGTTATATAAAACCTCTGTCAAGTACAAAGGCGTAACTATTTTATCTAAAATTGTAACTAAATTATCATCATTAAGGTATTACAAAAGAATCTATAATTGCTAAAACATTTAATTAGGTCAACACAGATTTAAATTTAGTATCAAAATTAAAATAATGAGTTTAACAATAACTTCTAGCAAACAATGGAAAATGCTGAGTTAACTGGAAAAGAGTTATTAGATGCTGTGCGTTCATTAAAATTAAACAAAGCACAAGGATTTTATAATTTTAGCAGTAATGTTATAGTTAAACGTATTTTCTATATTAAAAAAATTATTTTTCATAAATTTAATCTTTCGTTTAAACAAGGAATCTTTCTGAAAAAACTTAAAACTACAAGGATATTATCAGTTTTTAAATCTAGAGATAATACTGATATTTTTAACTAAAAACCTATTTCAATTCTTCTTTGCTTCTTGAAAATACTAGATTGCATTATGTTTATCAAATTGTACTCATAAAATTCATTTATAGATCTTAGTTAGGCGTTCGACACAGTTGATCATAGTATTTTAATTAAAATATTAAAAACTTACAGAGTCAAAAATATATACATAGCTTAGTTTAAAAGCTAATTATCTAATAGAAAACAATATATTTTGTTTGACAATGAAAAAACTGTCAATATGACAATTATTTGCGCCGTTCCTTATAGATCTATATTAGGATTGCGTTTGTTTATATTTTTATCTAGGACTACTTTACGGAAGGACGCGCAAAGTCAATTTCCTGACTCCGCTAGCGAAGGCCATTATTTTTATCGAAGTTGATATGTTCTTTAACGTTCCTGTAACATTTTTTAAAAATTTTAACCATAATCGTGTTGAAAAATATGCGGCGTTGTAAATTGTAAAAAGAATTATAATAAACTTAATAAGTGTTGTATTTTTAAATTACCAAAAGATGAAGTTGAGAAACAGAAACAGAATAATATTCTTTCTTTACGTAAAAATTTTATTATTGAGCCATCTAAATTTTTTTATACATGAAAAACATTGGCCTGAAAATACAGAAATGATTAAGCTGTCTGATAACTATACTCGACCAGCATATGCATCTTGTATTTTTAATGTTCCTTTTTCTTGTTTACCAACGCCAAAGCCTGTACCTCGCTAATATAAACTTGAGGACATGCAATTGAATTATTTCATCAAAAAAGATAGAACAAATTTTTTTTCTGATTTTTATCCTGACAATGAGTTGCACAAAAATATAAAAATATAGAAATATCTTGACAAGACGATAAATTCATAGGCATTTTTATGTCAAATGATTTCAAAGAGAGTTTAGTGACGATTATTGTTTATAATAAGTGTACCTTGTGTTCACAGCTAACCTTTTCAGCTTTTAAACATGGAACTTCCAGTCCATTAGCTAATATATTGAATTCAAACAATGGATTAATCTTCTATTCACAGTTTTTTGAAGCAATCAATTTAGTTCATAATTATAAGATGCTTGTTAATGATGTTATTGAAAAGGTGACAAATACTCTTTCAGAAAATGAATTTGAATTAAATGATAAAAAGAAACAAAATAAATTGAATTTTATTACAAGACAACTTAAACTCTTGTCTAAAAAAAGTTTCTCTTTAGCCGATTATTGCTTTGCAATCGAATCTTTTTATAACTGCAACTAAGATTAACTTCGTGATTTTTTAGTCTTTCCAAGTAAACCAAAGCTTCAGTCTATAATTTCCGCCACTAACATTGACCATGTTTTACAAAAACCATTTGAAAACGTAAAGAATAATTAACTGAAAAATATTATTTTTATAGTTGACGAAGTAAAAATTAGGCCAACAGTTGCTTATTCAAGTTTTAAATCGAATGGCAAGAAATGATCCAGAATCTATGGTGGACCTAGTTTAATGATTTCTGTTACCCCTGTTCACAAATTAACATCTTTGTATTAGTTCATTGCTGTGAAAGAAGCTGCTATTATAGTTGAAAAACATGGTGCAATAGTTTTAGGATCTGTAACTGATAATCTTAAAATCAATCAGCAGTACTGCAAAATTTTTAATAGAATAACTGACTATCAGGCCATTAATCCATTAGACAATCAGCGTGTTTGGTTTCTTTTATGACACAGTTCATCTACTTAAATGTATTCGCAATAACTGGATTTCTGAAAAGTGTCAAAAGCTATCTCTCGATAATAAAACCATAGCTTCATTTTCAGATTTGAAAAGTCTATATCAATACGAGAAAGAGAACATTTTAAAAACATTTTTCCTTTATCCTATGCTGCTGTCTATCCTTCAAGACTTCAACTACAGAATGTGCAGCATGTTTTAAGAGTGTTTAATGAGAAAGTATTAGCTTCCTTTAAACTAAAAGGAGCTTATGAAACATCCTATTTTATCCAGCAGATTTTAGATAGGTGGAATTTTGTTAATGTTTCTGCAAAAGGACAGGATGTTAGGTTGAGAGATCACAACCTAAGATAAAAATTTAAATAATCTTCAATTGTTTTTAGATTTAAATGTATGGAATTAGGACATGGGCCTAAACGAGCTCAGTGCGTTACCCATGATACCAAAAAAGCCCTTGTGCAAACTACTGAAAGATTAATAGCTCTCTGCAAACATTTGTTTTCAGTTGACTTTGATTATGTTTTGCTTTGTGAGCTACAAAGTGATAGAATAAAAGAATAATTTTCTGTTTATAGACAATTGACAGGGGCAAATACTTTTATGGCAGCTGATGATGTTTTCTCTGCTTTTAAAAAGCGTTTAGCTAGATTTGCTGCATCATTTTTAGAATCAGTGGAAGTAGGACGACCCCATAAAAAAGGTCACATATGTGAGGGTACAATTAATATTGAAGATCCAAACTCAATTGAAACATGCATTTATAATGTAAGTCTTTCTGAAACTGAAGAGAGCTCTGCTGCCTATGTAGCAGGATGGCTTGAGAAAAAGTGTAAAAATGAACAAGTTTATCCGGATGATGAACCTGAACTAACAAATAAAGCAAACATTTTATCGAAGAAGTTTCAAAGGAATATTTGACAGTTTCACATGAGTGTACTTATCAGCTAGTTAGAATTGGTTTATGCTTTGTGAAAAAAAAAGCACAGAGCATGTTGTAAAAAAAGACTTATAAACATTCTATCTATAATGGACACATATTATGTGCATGTTGTATAAAAAGACTTATAAACATTCTATTATAATGGTCATATATATGATTTTGGATTATCATCAAAGAGTCTTTTAAGGCGTTTGGCAAATGTTCTTCTGCATGGAATTCAGAATTCGGATAAAGACCAAGCAAAAAGTGCATGTCTTTATCAGACATCAATTAAGAAGGCAGGTCTTCTGAGTAATAAATCTTTCTTTTTAGATTTTTTAATTGAAAAAAAATGTATTGTTTATTTCTTTACGAAGTTATAATAATTTCATTATGTTTAAAAAAGAAAAGGGTTTAACATTGTTAAAAAGTCTCTAGAGAATATGATGTTTTTATGTTTATTTCTTTATAAATAAACATAAAAATGTTCTTTGTTTTTTTACAGAGGTTTTTTATATCAATCTTTTAGGCATTTTAAAATAAACTTTGATTTTGTTATTAACAATAACGTAAAATTATTTTATTCGTATTTCAGAATTTTGATTTTATAAGACGGTGTTTAAGCCAACGTTAGTTATGGCCTTACTGGCCTTCGCTAGCGGACTCTAGAAATCGACATTATTTATATTTTTATTTAATTTATATTAACGATTTAAGCAAAGCCTTTAATATTCTAAATTCAATCTTATTTGATAATGAAACTTACTTATTTTAATCTCATAACCCAGTGGGGACACGACGGAAAAAAGACGTCTTATGTACGTTCAGTTAACGTTCGCTCAATTTATTCACAAAATGAACTATAATTAGACGTCATATGAACGTCTTTTTCACGTCCGTTCCAAAAATAAGAAAACTTATCACTTTCAGTTTTAAAAAATCTTTTTATTATGTCTAATGACGTGAAATGCCATTATTAAAATTATTAAAAGGTGTTTTAGTAATGGCGCCATTATTAAAAGGTGTTTTAATAATGGCGAATCTCGTAGGAAGAGGTTTCAATTACTTTTTAAATAATTGTTAGATAACATATGTGTTTTATATTTATATATGTATATAGACAAACAAAATAAACAAAGATTGTTTATATAGTAAAAAAAAACTATATATATCTTTATATGACATATATGTGTCGTGACATGTTTTTTTTTACTTTGTATGTCATTAAATTTTCTTTATTTTTATATATTTTATATTTTTTATGTCATATCAGATATATATAAAAATAATGAAATTTAGATTGATTAACTAATTTTTTTAATATGTTACTGTATGAGTATAAAATCCTATTTTATTTACTGTCATTTATATTTTAAGTATTATAGTTGTTTTTTTTTAAACGTAATACTTAAAATATAAATGTCAGGAAATAAAGTTATAAAATTAAGATTTTATACTCATACAGCAATAATATAATAAAAATTAGTCAATAACTCTAAATTTTCATTATTTTTATGTATATGTAATTTCATTTTCTTTGAAGTTAACAGTCAATAACCTAATCCCTGTTACTATATTATAGATGCATGTAACTATATTATATATCATAATATGATATATATGACAATATGATATATATATGATATATACGAATCGATTCATATATAATATAGTAACATACATAAATAATATAGTAACAAGATATAACAGTAAAAAAAAATTATATGTGTACTACTAATAATAATCGAAAGTACTTTGAGTTACAGGAAAGTTCGAATTATCTGAGGTTTGAGATATTGGGAGTTTACTGCATTTTTATGATTATTATTTTTACATTCCATCTACATAGAATTTTGAATTTTATGCTGAAAGTTGCACTTTTATATATATATATATATATATATGTATATATATATATATATATATATATATATATATATATATATATATATATATATTTTAAATTTTAATTTATTATACTTTTGCAACATTTAATAAAAACACGTATGATAAAGCTTTGTTAATATATCAATGATTTAATATTTAGTGCACAAACAAAATAAATAATACATCTGTTAATGTTAGAATATGATTGTTTTAGATTTTAATGGTGAAAAAATCAAAATATTACATGATCTTTTCAGTAGAAAATTTTATAAGGATTTCTTGAAAAAATAATGACAAAATTGATAGTTTTTCGTAACTTCAAATAATATAACTTTTCCAATTCTTATCAAAATGTATACAATTTGGTATGAAAGCAAAGATATGAAAAAGACAAGGCACCTACAACAACAAGTAACATGTTACGAATGTATATTTGTTAATGAAAGTTAAATGTTTTTTATTGAAATTTTGGATTTTTATTTGCAATTTTTTATATTCTAACAGACGATCATTGAATTTGATAGATAAACAAATAGAAAAGTAATACATAATACTCTCTTCATATGTAATACTCTCCTTAAACGTAAATCAAATTGTTTAAACTGGATATGATGATTAAATGTTGTATCGGCATCGTTTTATCTGTCTATTTTGCTTTTTCAATTTGATTGCCAGCTTCAACCTAATTCTTGATTTAGAACTATGATTTTGAACTAAAACATTTCTGTGTTGAATAAAATACTATTTATTCTTGGCTGTATTTTTTTTGAGGCTTCAGTATTCAAATGTTGGTGGTAATTTTAGTTATGCCACTGGTAAAGCGTCGATTTTTAAGTATGTGTTTACTTTTTGTATTTTGTTTTGCTATGCAAATAAATTTAGTAATAATTATTTAATTATTAACTAATAAGTTTTGTTTTGTTAAATTATATATTATGGTTATTGTTTATCTGTACACATTACACTATAGAGTATATGTAAATGCATGTGCAATAGCATAGGTTGTATTTTATTATGTATTCACATAAGACATTTTCAAGCACATGTCTAATTTGCAAACTTAATTATTTTTATCCTTATGTCGAATAACAACATTTTGCCCTTATTCCCTGAATGTGAAGGAAATGAGTTCTGTAAAGAACAGTATTTTATTTAAAATTAAATTAAATTTCATCAACAGGTTTGTAACTTTAATAGTATTTAGGCTTTCAAAAGTTTTGACCATATAAAGATTAGTTTTCCTCCTTAAATGAGGAGGTTGCAAAATGTACATCATCATACCTTTTGAATGCTAATATGAACTCATTACCCTCATATTCAGATATAGAAGAGCCAAATTTTTTGGGTATTTTAGTTTTCAAGCACCTATGTATTATTTATAACAAATAATAGATTATAATTTATTTTTTTCATTGTTATTCCAGGTAGACATAAAACGTTTGAAGTATGCACAAAGCCTGAAAGTGTCAAACATGGAACCTAAAAAGACCTGCCTTTGCCACTGACTGTATAAAGGTATCTTAAGGTAAGAGCTTAACTGTATTAACAGAAAAAAAATATTATAAGTTATACATACAAAAATAGAATAAAAATATATATTTGTAGTTTCAGTTTTTATTGTCACAAATATTAAACATTTGTGACTCAGAATACAGATATTGATGTCTGTCTTCTTTAATGTCATTAATGCTTTATCTACTGTTTTCTTTTTGTGCATGACCTAATTTCTTTTCATATCCATATTTTTTTAGGTCTGTATGTCAAGCGTCAAGTCAGGTTATCTTGCTACTGGTACCATGTAGTACATACTGCTTAAGCAGGTTGTACGCCATCCATACGACGTTTGGGCATCTGTTTGTAAAATATTGCTTCAAGTCTTTTTGAGAGAGCCATTACTATGGAGAACCATCTAAACCATACAAGTGTGGAAACATAAATGTAAATCTTAAACACATTTGTGATATATAATTGTAGAACGTTAAATGTTATAAGTTTAGAAATTATATTCTGCTAAAAAAACTTTTTAAATGTATTCTTGCAAAACATTCCTGGCCCGCATTTGATTCTGAACAACGTTCTTTTCGGACCAAGTGCTGGCTGGGTAATATGGACTTGTAAATGAACTTTTATTAATAATTTTTAAACTGCTTATGATCTGATCTGATTTTATTTTTGTCATTTGTTTATTTAGATTAATGTGAAATAAACTGATGAGAAACAATTTTAATGAAGACAATTATAGGTATACCTGTTAATGTAATATATTTTGTATTTTATTTTTTATGTTAAGTTTTGACGAATTTTTAAATACTGCAAACTCACACTTGCACAAAAATCAACCGTGAACTCTTATTTAATCAGTTGCAAAAGTTGACTTTGAAAATTTTGAATAAGATATTATAGCTTATTGATTAGACTGTGTTTTTAGAATGAAGTTCATTCATTTGCAGGCAACATTTTCAAACGTGGTGCAGATCGAAAAACTTTGGTGCAAGAAATTGTCGATAGTGGAAGTGATAGATGCATCGAACCTAATTTGTAATTAATTTCTGTAAACAAATTTCACTTTACTAATTTTTGTGTTAAATTCTTGTTTTTCTAATGGTATTTGAAATTAATAAGTCAAAAATTAACGTATAAAAAAATACGCACCAAGTAAGACCTATTTATACCTAATGTTTTTCATTATTTCTAAACTGTAACAAACTAAATTCAATTTCTTAGTATTTTTGGGACGTCTTTTTTATGTTCCTCGTAAGACGTCTTTTTTACGTTTTTCTGAGTTCGTCTTTTTCCCATTCCTTCTAGGACGTCTTTAAAACGTTTCACTCAGGACGTTTTTCTGTATTTCCAAGTCCAACCAATTTAAGACGTCCAATCGGGACGTCTTAAAGACGTCCTAAAGCCTTTCATGTGCTTATTGGGAACGATATAACAATATTATTTAAAACAGTCATTATTGAACTTCTAAAACTAACCATATGTTTAAACATGAATAAACTTTTAATTAAATTAACTACTCGGTGTTGCTAAGGCGATATACGAAATATTCGAATAATTTTATTTTGAATTAGCATGCTTTTGTCAGCATATTTTGTCCAAACAAGATCTTTAAATTTTTTTTTTGACTTAAGTTTTTTTAATATATAAAGAAACTTTATTTTTTTTGAGTATGATTTTCAAAATTTTTTTACTACCTTTATTATCGAATCTAAAGAACAATATTTTGGAGTCTTTAGATTAATTCCGGTCATTAATATTAACATGAATTTAGTTAAAATCCTTTGAAAAAGTTCCTTAATTCACTTTAGATCCTAGTTCTACTTGGTTCTAAAGTATATTAACTATATAGAGTTGTCAAAACACAATATTTCTATCAATTGTCACAAAAAATACTAGAATTCCGACCAAAAAAGAGCTTATAGTTTTTTTATGCTGCCAATAAACAATCAAAGCAGATCATATTTTTAAACTATTATGTTTATTTCATCTAAAAAACATTTAGCATAAAATCTTATTCAAATTTGGACGAGCAATTGTAATTTTAAGACGATTTAAAAAAAAAAAAAGTCTTAGATCTGGGTTTTTTTCGCTACAAACATTTACATGCAAATATTTTATAATACCGCAAAATTTATCGTTTTAATAATTTTCGTCTTTTCATTATTTACAGAGCAGACCATTTAACGGAAATATGTCGTAGTCAACAAAATATCATACAGACGCTATAATATTTTAAAAGTGCCTTAACTACTCCGAGTTAGTATATTAGTTTTGATCGCTTCCGTAAAAAAGATAAAATCCTGGATATCGGATTACTCTTTAAAGCAAAACCATACTTATATTTATCTCAAGCAATTATGTTTTAAATACATATATTACTCATTTATTCATTCCTATCTTAACAATGCAAACATTGCTTGGTGCAGCACCGATAAAACAAAGACAAAAAAGCGATAAAGAAAACAAAAACTTGCAATTAGATTATTATCAAATGCACACTGCCTCTCACTTTTAATGCCATTGTTTAACAATCTAGAAATACTGAATATGTACCAAATAAATATATATAATCTTCTAATTTTTATGTATAAACTAATAATTATAATACAATACCAAATATCTTCGAATCATTATGTAATAAAGTTCAAAACAAATCCTTGACTAAATATTCAATAACAATATTGTTCAAACCAAAACTATATATGAGTCCCGTATATAGCTCTCAATAACTATTTGAGGACCTAATGTATTGAATAAGATAATTAGTAACAATAATAAAACACTACAACTCTTAAACAATTTTAACTAATACTAAAACAAATACTTTAAAAAAATAAACAAACAGAGAATTATTTTGAAAACTATTTATAAAAATATTTTGTTTGAAAATAATCAACTAATGCATTCTTTATTTATCAAGAAAGGTCAAAAGTCCTTATTTAAAATTGTTATAATCAATTATATTATAAATAAGTAATTATAAAGTTTTACAGCATTCATAGATTTTAACAACGATAGTTTAAGTTTAATCTTTTTCTTATAAAAGAGAGAGACGGAAAAAAAATTGGAGTCAAAATCTGGACATTTTATATTTATTTTAATAATATATTTTGTCATTTAGAGTAAGCTTTACAATGCTTTTACAATAATAATATAATAAAAAATAATGCAATAAAATTGTTTTTTGAGTCGAGCTGGTAAATAACAAGGTCTTATCACCCAGTCTCGTAAACATAACTGAAAATAATTCAGATAAAAAGGAATAAGGAAAAAAAAAACTAAAAGCTAGAACTCTCTTAACGGAAAAAAAAAATTAATGATTTCCTTTTTCTTATTTTTTAAATTAACTCTTTTATTTTCATTATGCACGTACTCACACACGCAAACACACACAAACACATATACACACAAATATGTCCACTCATTTATGGTAAGTGGGGGCATAACCGCTTATGGAAGCATAACCGTTTTTTAAAATTTTCCTTAAACATATGTTATCTAATATGGCAAAAAAAAATACCACGCGTTAGTAAAATAGTTTCCTTCATTTCGCTTATGTCAAAAAATGTGCCTGTTACGTTTCTGAGAAATTGTGCATAATAATGTTTATGTTGATAAAGTTATTATACTAAGATCATGTTTTTTCGAATCTTTTTTTTGAGGAATAAGCAATATTTTATTTTAGTTTTAAAAATATGTGTTATCTCCGTTATTTCATCAAGTGAAAACATTTTTGATATCAACGTAACCTTATAAGCAAGCTATAAAACTGTATTCTTTCTAAAAACTGCCCTCTGTGGCAAAACCGCTTTGACGCACAGGAGGAACAGCCTTATACTTTTGATGTTCATCAAAGTTAGTTAATTACGAATAAAAAATAATTAAATATGGCTCACTTGAATGCGTTCATGTAAAAACTTGAATAGAAATAGTTTTGTTTTGAGATGTTGGTAGTTAGACTTCTTATATTTTTACTTAATTTTTATAAATAATTTTTTGTATAAAGTATAAAGCTAATTGTATATCGAATGAAAAAACACTGGCTGTAAATACAAAGAATGCCTAGACAGTATGCAAACGTGCAATAAAATCAGCAAACAATATGATCAGTGACAACTGTAAATAAAATGTATCAAGAAAGGTGCACCCCCAACGAATTTTATGAGGGTGCGGTTGTGCCTTAAAATAGGGAAAAAACCGTTTTTTTACTAAGGATAATTTTGTGTAATAACATTTTCAAAAATCGTTAATTTCTTTTTTTAATTGAATCAATCTAAATCTTAATAATGTGGTTTTGAAATAAAATATTAAAAAAAAATATCCGCATCAATATATTGTTTCCATATTTGAGTCAGTATTATAATATAAAGTAATAAGATATACGTTTTAAGTACAATACTAAATAAATAATGTTGCGTCAATTTATAAGACTTGATGCCGTTAGTCTTCTAATATAACTAAGATTAACGAAAGTTTTTAATAATAGGATACAAGTTTAAAATAAATTTCAGCTTACTTGTTAATATTTTTGGTATAATAAAGTTATTTATTTAGTATTTTGTTTGATTTTTTTGATTTAAAGAAAAAATTAAGTTTGGAAAATACTTGTATATCATTTAAATAAACTTAAATGTAAAAAAAAGTATGTTAAGAATATTTTTTTTATAGGTTTTGAGCACTCTAATTTCTTTTAGTAGCGGTCTGAAAGTAACGTATTTGTTTGCATTTAATATTAAATAACTTGGTTGTCTTTTGTATTTGGTAGATCGCATTTAACTTTATAGGATAAGTATATGCCTAGATTATGATACAGTAGCTGATGTAGCTATAAATAAATGCAAAATAAATACTTAAAAACAATTTGTGTCTAGGTGATATGTTTTTTTATATACAAAATACCAAAAACTTCCTTTTCTTTTCTATTACTTTGAAAATGATGACTCCAGCTATATTTATTAGGAATTATGCCCAAAAATATTGATTGAGTATAGTCGTTTCAGTTTATTAGGATTTTTTTATTATTATTTACTTAGGTGCCCCAAGAAGACCTAACGGTCTTGTCACAGAGCACCGCGAAAGTGCATTTAACCAAGAAGTTTACGCCTCCTTCTATACCGTGACACGAAAATATTTCCAAGGCTCATTTCGAACCTGGATCTACTGCTTATAAAGAAAGTGCTCTAACCACTGCGCCCCGGCCGCCTAAGATAATAGATCAGAAAGTTTAAAAAGGAGAGTATCCGGTTTTGATAACTTTGTAAAAAGAGTATATAAATATACATTTTTTGACAAATAGAAAGAGATATTTTCTGAAGGTTTTGAATAGTGCTTCAAATACCTATAGTACCGGTAGTAACGTCCGGTAAATCTGGAATACTGGTTTTAGCGGACATTTTCTTTTACCGAAATACCGGCATTGGTTTGGCTAAATATTGGTATTAAAAATATATGTAGAGGGTTTGTGATATAGTAAGTACTATTGCCCTCTATACGTGAAACACGAAGATAAAAACTTATAAAACACGAACTTAAATTTTCCACTTGCAATAATTTTGACTAACCGTGTTAAACAATAAGCTTTTGTATGTGTGGCTAAAGAGTATTTGTATATCATTCGCAAAATCAACAAAACTAAGTAGGTTGAAAAATAAGTATATGTCGATAATGCAAAAAACAAAACAAAAAGAAAACCTAAAAGAACAAAAGTTGGTACTTGCAGAACCCCACAAGTATTACTCTCAAGTTGTGTTACAATGTTTTTATATGATAAAGCTTGTTTCCGAATATTAAGGAAATATCAAAACTGTTTAATTTTTTATTTTTAATTCCATAAGTATGCAGTTTATAAAAAAGACTTTGTCAAATGCTTTCGAATGATCAAGGAGTATCCCTAGATTGTATTTATTGTTATCGAGCCTATTTAAAATTTCGGTCAGTGTGTTCTATTGAATGGTGTTTTTGAAACCAAATTGATTATTATTTAACAAGTGGTTATTTACTAAATAGTTTTAAAGTCTATTGTGAGTTCTGCTCACTAATATTTTTGAAATACATTATAAAATTAAATTCATCTGTAGTTAGAAGCAATAAAATCAATTCCGGTTTTACATATAGAAACAAATTTTTCTAGCTTTAGCTGATCAGGAATACCCCGTGATTTAAAGACAGATTACATATATGCAAAAGGGGATATACAATAATATAGTCAACATTTTTTACAACTTTACCGCTAATGTCATCTAGTTCTGAAGATTTGATAGCTTGTATGTTTTTAAATATATTATTTAACTTCCTTAGAGTTAGTTCAAGCTCGTTCGAGTCTTTTTTTCTAGATACAGCTTATAACATTTTTTTTATGAGTTATTTTGTAAACTGCATTTAGTATAGTGTTGTTTTTTAAAGTTTTTATTTACTACAACAATTACTTTTATATTATTAGATTGCATAATATTGGTTTTATATCTTAGTGTTTTTTTTACCATAATAAAGGTGGTTAAGTCATAAAAAAAGTTTTACTATGTTATTAATTGAACAAAAACTTCTACTAAGGATGTATTACTCTGTTTTTAAATTGGTTTTCATTTAAATTGATATGTACCTCCTTATCAAGTATAATACAAATATAAAAAAAAACCCGTTATAAACAAAGCAAAAACAAAAACAAATCAATCCAGTAGTTTCAGTAAACTTGATCATTTTGATCAACTTAACGATTGCATTAAAATTGATAATTTTAAGATAAGTATGCAACTTTGTTATATTTCGTTAAACCTTTCATTTACTCAATCTACAATTGCTGTAGTTTTTTTAAAAAGAGTTTTCTTTATGAATAATAACATCTGAAAATTATTTCTGTTTTATTTTTGAATTGCAACATAATAATTATCCGTGTGTTTGACTCAAATTTGACTGGTTGAATTAAAAGACAAACATGGAAAACTTTTGTGC